AATTCAGCGAGTTATGTAGAAAAAACATAATGAAAATGTTGCATGAATGAGGTCAGCATAGACTTTAAATCTTTCTTCACCGATGTAATTTGTCTTTTAAATGAAAAATGAAAGATTTAAGGAAAATTGCGCGACAACACATCGGGTCGTTAATGTGGTCATTTGTTGAATTGAACGACGCATGAAAACTGAAACAATGGAAAATGAAATCATGATTTACCTCAATGTACAGCCACGTGTTCAAAAGAATAAGTTTCGTAACTTATACACCCTCAGGTATCATGTTATTGCAGTTTCGTGTTTGTTTAGCTTGATTCTGAGTGACGCTTTTGTTCTAAATAGCTGTACCGTAAATTTTCCTGCCAACAACCCACTCAGCCTGAGTTTATTCAAGCTGTTGTCACAAGAATGGCAGGGAAGCTTATTAGGTATATTATAGTTGGCCGTTTTTTACTTGAAGAACCCTCAGTTTTACGAACCTCCAGATTATTGAAAGCACACTTTTGCTAACGCTCCCCTGGCAAAAAAAATAAGGAAATGTGGCCTCGATCTTTCGAACCACTCAATGTTTTGAACGAATTTCGGAGCCGATTTTCAACCCAACGTTACACGAGACGATTCTTAACGCAACAATGCAAATTCGGGCAATGATGTTGCAGGTTTTTAAAATCGTTTTCAAAAACCTACATGTTGCCGCAACGAAATGTTGCGTGAAAAAATCGCCCTGTGCGCCATTGGACACGATTTTGATTTTGAACGTAACAATATAATGTCGCGTTAAAAATAGGCGCTGAAAATCGACTTGTGCAACATCACCTTAAAGAGTTCATGGTTTCAAAAAGCTGATCATCATGTGTGAAATTCTGTACACGGGGTTCAGAGCCACCTTAAATATTCAAATATTTAAGGTAGCCCTGAAGCCCATGTACAGCATTAAAAATCCTCTTTATCAAAATTCGATAATAAAAAATGGATTTCACCGTGCCATTTTTGAAATATAAGTACTTAAAGCTAAAATTAAGGGTGTTTTTAGTGGGGAATACCGTGGATATGGTAACCTATTGAGTCGCGAAAATGTGAACACCGTGTTCACCAGTGATTGGGCAATTTTTTGATTCCATAATTGTAGGATCAACTGATAAAGATTGGTTACTGAATGACCCATCAAAATCTAAGTCTTGAAAAGTGCTGGAAACTGTTATGAGCCACCGTAAACCAAGCGTTTCAATGAGGTTAACCGTCAACCGTCAAATGGCCAAAAAATTAACAGTCAACCGTCAAAAACGCAATATTTATACACTCAATCATCAAATGAGCAAGCTAATATTTAGCCGTAAAATGCCCCAGATATCCTTAATTAAGAACTAAACGATTGACTTAAATGGGTAGAGTTATGCCGTTTGTAAATGATCGTTTTAATATATCACAAAAATACATTTATGTGCGACTCCTTTAACTTCTAGTCTTGGGAGCAGGAGATTTTAATCCAGCGGTAACAAAGAGAAACTAATCACGCTAATTAGATAGCTATTTGAAGACCAAAAACCTAATTTTTAATGCATAAATTACGGGACTAAATGGATTATTCAAATATATTGGCAAAATTGTATTGTTTTAAGAAAAATTACAACCACATCTGCCCCTTAATTTCGTGTTATAGACGTCATTCCGAAAACTCAACCGTCAACGGTCAAATAACCTAAAATGTAACCGCCGATCGTCAAAACGGCTTATTTTTAACCTTCAAAGGGATCCACCCCATACAGACCCTCTTAAGCAAACCCGTCATATTTTCAACACCGCGGACATCTTTTCTGTGACGTCATGATCGCTCCAGGTCTTCCTGCTGGTGGTCGCTGGTGTCGTACGTCAAAGTTTTTTCCGGCTTGAGAAGGTTCTGTTTTGTGTTGAAACGTGTAAATGTTTTCGTTAATTTTGGCATCTTTCTAAAAGATGAATAGATTCCCTTGCTTGAGCAGAAGATGAGTGGAAAGTCAGGTTGGCGTGTAACGTATTGAAAATGCTGTCATTCTCAGGGAAGGAAAATACAAGCTTTCGCGGTGTGTGGAGTTTCGACTGAACATTCTCCTTGGTGTAAGGTAAACGGTGTTATCGTGTAATCGACAGATGGAAGTTATGGATTCAGGAATCGAAACAAACGACAGTACAAGCGATTGTGATAAAGTTTCAAAGGTAAGGTGATTTCCCTATTAAATAGTAAGTTTCTTTATACTTTGCTATGAAGTGACGAGCCTCTTATTTATAGTTTATAAGTAAGGACGTTCATGTACCCGGTGCATTTGGTGTA